AAAAACCCATATCTTCTTTATCCAGTTTCCAGTTGATGGGCACTTGGGCTGTTTCCAAGCTTTAGCTATTACAAACTGTGCTGCTATAAACGTGGGTGCTTAAGTGTTTAAAAATCTTAAATTTTCATAGTTGTGGTTTTTCATTATTCTATATTATGTATTATTGGGTATTTTGTATTTGATTAGAGATAAAAGAGGTAAATGGAATATTTATCTAAGGATATATAGGTTTTTAAAATGTAGTAGAGGGCTAGGAATGTAGTTCAGTTGTAGAGCACTTGCAATAGCATGCCAAAGCCCTGGCTTCAAACCTCCTCCTCCATTCAAAAAAAATCTTTTAAAATGTACTAGAGGGGTGGCTTCTGAGTAATCCAAGATTTTGAAAGTCCTTGATAGAGTTAATAGAAGAATAGCTAGAAGATGCCTCTTTATCTAGTACAATACCTATATTTTTCGTATGTTATTTAAGAAAACGTATTACAGAAAAGTGACAAGTGATTCTTTTCAGTAAGAGCTTAGTCATAATACATTTACCTACAGGATCCCTTGCTTAGAACTATTTTAGCTTTCACTACTACTTGTCTTAGATCTTTTGAAATTTTTGTTTTCAATTGTATTTCCCAGAGCTTTAATTATTACTGCTTTTCACAAACCTACCTTTGTTACTATTATTTTGTATCAGAGTATGTATTGGGACTATACAGCCCCAGCTATGGGATAACATAGGAGTTCTTAAATAGAAAATTCTCATTATTATTAAATAGGTAAAACTAATTATTACCCAGATCTGTATAACAACTCTTGATTTATGCCATTTTTTAGAGACCTTGCAGCTGCTATAGATCGAATGGACAGGTATAATTTTGATACAATGATTTATGTGGTAAGTAATCACAATAAAGAACAAAAGTTTTGACCCCTACCTCATGCAGATTGCAGAGATAAAAATTGGAAACCATAGTGGAAAACTATTTAAAAGTACTTTTGTCAAACTAAGTAGAGAATTCAACATTAAGTGTATGTAAGGTAGTAACCTCTGTATAAAAAAAAAGTTTTAAAAATGAAAAAGAAAAATTTTTGAAATGAAAAAGTTCCCATTGCTTTATAATCAGGAAAATGATAAGTATATGAATTTAACGTGTACTGGTCATGGTAACTGAAATATTTTCAAAGAATTTTTATTTCAAAATATCTTAAGACTCAAAATATTAGTGTTTCCATTTACCTTCCCTCAGCTGCTCCCAAAGACAATGTAAAACCAGAGTATTTTGTCAGTATCAGGAAATTGGTATTTCTAGAGACCTTATTAAAAATTTCTTCAGATTTTGCATGCACTTTCTTGTAGACTTCTTAAATGAAATTTTATCACATGTATAGTTTCATGTAACCATTACCACATTCAGAAGATAGAACTGTTCTTTCACATACAACACTCCCTCATGGTCATTCACTTAGTAATCATACCTTTCCTCCAATCCTAACCCTATTTGTTCTTCATCACAAATTTTATCATTTTGACAGGGTTGCACAGATGGACTATACAATATATAACCTTACGAGATTGGCTGTTTTCACCTACTGTAGTGAATGTCCTAGAAATGTGTCCAAGCTGTTGTGTCAGTATTGCTCCTTTTATTGTTGAGAAGATTTTAGTTTTTCCTTCCCTTTCCTTTTTCTGATTAAGCCTCCCTTTTTACTAAGAAAGTTGCCATCAAACATCGTTTTGAAGCTAGACTGGTCTTCTTGGAGATAGATGCCATATTAACTGAAAAAGGAAAACTTTAAATAGAATATTCGGAAGACTAAAGTGCGTATATCTTCCTACTTGGTGGCATACTGCAACTTTTATTTTCCTCTTTTGTAGAGCATTCAACTTATGACATTCTATTTTTGTGTTTAAAGGATATTGACTGACAAACACCTTAGTCTGTCAAAACTCTGTCAATTTGATTGAGCTCCAACCTATTTTTATATATTAACTTACCACTATTTTTTATTTTAAATACTTTCTTTCCAAGGCAGATAAAGGGCAACAAAAGCATTTTCAGCAACTGTTCCAAATGCTGAAGATCATGGGATATGACTGGGCAGAAAGGTAATGTCTCATGATTCTTAATTGCCTGCTCAGGGTCACTGACACTAAATTAGGTCAGCCAAGCCCAAAAATGTATCTAGAGAGATTTTCATTCAGACTGCAGTGCTTTGTTTCAAGATGTGAGTATGGAAAAAGCAGATTCAATTTTTGTATTAATATATGTCCTGATAAATGTGTTTTTATTAGACATCTCCTCTCACTGTCTTTCAAAATTACTAATCCCCATCTCCTTTTCCTCATTAAGGAGCTCAGTAGTTTAATCACATGCTAGTGCTTATCAGAAAAATGAAGTTGTGCTTAATATATTTTGTGGCATACAACAGATCTCACGTCTCATTTCATTTTATTCATTTTTTAAACCTGCTACAAGGGTTAAAGTTCAAACTACTCTGAAAGAGTAATATGATGTACTCAGATCTCTAGCTCTTTTGTAGCTTTAGGTTGACAGAATGCTCTTCCTTTGCAGGTGCCAGCATGTGCCCTTTGGAGTCGTGCAGGGAATGAAGACCCGCAGAGGAGATGTCACTTTTCTGGAAGATGTCTTAAATGAGATTCGACTAAAGATGCTACAGAACATGGCTTCCATAAAGAGTAAATCTACTTTTTTGTTGTTAAAGTCATGCTTCACAGGTTTTTGTTTTTTTGCTTTTGGGCAGTGTGATTTGTTATAACTGTTCCCCCACTGAACTGTCAGTGCGTCAAGTAACTTTCATTAATTTTAGGTGCCAGAGTTTTTAGATGTACTGCACACTTATTCACTTTATTAACCTGAATTCATATAACCTTGGTGTTCTTTTCATAGATAGCTTTGGTGTCATCCTTCTGTAATCTGAGTCATCATGTGAGAGTCCTGTGTTATAAATTGGATATAAGTTTCAAGTTCATGTCTTTGTTTAACCTTCATCCTTGAAAAAATAGGTGTCAGCTATATCTAATGTCTTAACAAGGAATACTTGTAAGAAAAATAAATTTATATTTCTTCCCTTTAATGTAAGCAGGGTCAATGCATTTTAGCACATAAATTCACCTAAATTAGTGAAGTAAAGTGCAAACTTTGAACTTGTTTGTTCTTGTCAACACATATTTTTGGCAGATTTTTGTCTCCACTTTGATCTGTGATTTGGCACAGTGTCATGCAGTTTAAAATATAGCTGCCTTTATCTGTTTCAGCAACCAAAGAACTTGAGAACCCACAGGAAACTGCAGAGAGGGTCGGGCTTGCGGCACTTATTATTCAGGTCTGTTAAGACTCCTTTTTATGAAATTTTTTTGTCTGGTAGAAGAACAAATCCCAGGACTGAAGATTTACTCTGTCATTTTAGGACTTCAGAGGTTTGCTCTTATCTGACTATCAGTTCAGCTGGGATCGTGTTTTCCAGAGTCGCGGGGACACAGGAGTCTTCCTACAGTACACACATGCCCGCCTCCACAGGTGAGAATAGGCTGCAGGGAAATATGCTGCTATTCTTCTGTAGACTGGGATGTGGTTGGTGTGTTCCTAAGACAAATGGCAGGCCCTGTTTTCCGGGGTTCTTCAACATCTCCTTTTCAAAACTTAAAAAAGCACAAATTTCCTATTGTGGTTTTAAAGTATTTATTTACTTAAGTAAGAAATGCTTTTATGTATATTACCTTATTTAGTCCTCAGAATAATCCTGCCAGTCCTGTTACCTATATTTTATAAAGAAAAAAAATTTAGGAAAAATTGAGGACTCAGGCACAACACTTGGCATCAAAGTCCAGATTTATATTAAGGAGACCAAGACTGTATATTATGAGGTAATGTTCATCACCTGCAACTATGTGCCTCTGTATGACTTCGGTTTTTACTGACAGTTTGGAAGAGACTTTTGGATGCGGTTATCTGAATGACTTCAACACTGCTTGTTTACAAGAGCCACAGTCTGTTTCAGTTCTCCAGCATCTTCTCAGGTATGGAGTTTTTCTGTTACTACCAAGTCTGCTTCACGCGTACTGATTTATTGGTTGGTTAGCTTTGCTGGCCAGGGGCTGCCTCCTACCTCTAGAATCTAGATCTTTCCTAAAGATATGTCCTAAAGTGTCTGCCTTTTGGGAAAGTGCCTTTTGGAAGTGCACATATTAAGCCAATACTCAAAGTCAGTCTTTAAGTCTTAAAAATACTGTCACCATTGAATTATGCAGATGTCTAGCATACTCTACTCCATTGTCTGGGAAGATAAAGCCTGGTGTGTTAGTTACTTTTCTTTTGTTGCTGAGACAAAATACCTGACACTCAAACTTAGAGGGGAAGGGGCCGGGGATTTAGCTCAGTGGTTTCGCCACGTGCCGTCCAAGCACAAGGACCTGAGTTCGATCTCTGGTACCAAAAAAAAAAAAAAAAAGTTAGAGGGGAAGGGGTTTATTTGGCTTACAGTTTGTAGAGGTTTCAGTTCATAATTAGCCAGCTCCAAGGCAGGGATGGCAAACAGGTATGCAGAGCAGAAACAACATGGTGCATACAAGGCAGCAAAGGCAACTAGAAAGTTAACAGCATCTCCCTGCCCCTTTTATCTTATTCAGACTACTCAGGGTGGGTACCACTCACACCCTTAATCCTAGTGTCCTTGAGCCTACAATTGCATCATGAATCAATTCCAGCTTCACACACTCTAGATCAAGCCTATGACCACATGAGGCTTTGAGGGGACATCTAGACCCAAACCATAACACCTGGTAAAGGCACACCTTTTGGTTGGAAAAGAACATCTCACTTGTGATAAGTGAAGGAAAATCCCTGCCTTTGAGCAGCTTCCCAGAGAATCCCTCACTTGCCTCATGGTCTCAAATACAGTACATCCTTCGGTATGATGCTTTCATATTGGGCAAGAGACCAGAGGTTTTGTTCACATAAGTGTTGGTGAAGGCTTGTCAGTAAATTAGTGTCCAGAAGGGATGCAGGTGGTTATAAACAAGGCAGTTTTCTCTGACTGCTGCACAGCAGTCAGTGGTTCTTTCTAGGCATCAGAAACATTTACTCACAGATAGCTAATTAGAAGGGGAAAATAAACCAACCTGATTTTCTTAGCCTTGAAGGGGCTTTATTGGTTTATAGATTACGTTTCTTAACATGGCTACCGGCTTTGTACATTCGTTTTAAGAGCCATGATTTAAGTCTTTGCTCTGGACTATGGGATATTAAGATAATTTAGAAAGTTCCTGCCATCAAGGAATTTGTAAGAAAGAAAACTACGTAATTGCTTTCAGATATACACAGGTCCTTTTTCATATGACTTCTACTCTTTGTGATGTCAGTCTCACATCCAAGGTGTTTTAACATCTTAGCTTATTGTAAAGTGTGAACATCTCTCTGCCAGCTGCTTCTAATCTTTCTTTTAGGTTTGATGAGGTGCTTTATAGATCATCTCAGGACCTTCAACCCAGGCACATTGTTAGTTACATGCTAACTCTAAGGTACTTTTATAATTTTCCTATTTTCAGGTATTAATTTGATACCAGAGCCGACAAGAAATCTTTTTTTAATTCAAAGTTTTCCCATAAACAAGTCCCTTGTCCTAAAAATTAATGTGCTTTAAATTATAGGGATTGTTTCATCTTGGCCAATTAGTAATTTTTATTTATTAATTCAGTGATGTAAGGTATTAACTATAATCGAGTGACCAGGAACCAACAATGACATAGAAGTCAAGCACAGTGCACATGAACTGTGACAGAGTGAACGTAAGAGATGACATCAGCCCACTGTAGCCTGACAGGACTAGAGAGAGCTGCTCAGAGGAAAACAGATAATAATCAGAAGCAAGCAGCTGGGAAGGAGGAAGCATAGTCCTGGGAGGGAATGAGAAAGGACACGGATATGGGCTTTTTTGCCAGTTAGACTACTTTTCAGGGCAGTGGAGTCCATAGAAGAGTTCTTAGCAGAAACAGAACAGTCAGTCAGCAAAGGGTAGAAAGGGAATGGGGAAGTGAATCAGTGTCACTTTAGTAGAAATTTTATAGTTTTAGCTTTTAATAGTTTAGCCTACTCTTATGTAGAAACGGTTTTATCTTCCCATAAAGCTATTTAAGACAGGAAATGTTGCTTTTACTCAAGTTTTACTAAAATCAAACATTTTTTTTTGGCACTGGGCACTGTGCCCAGGACCTTCACACTGAGCTACATCCCCAGCTCTTTTTATTTTTGAAATGAAGTCTTGCTAAGCCACTAACTTGCCCAGGCTAGGCTCACTTACAATCCTCCCGGCTCAGCCTCCCAGTGTTGGCACTATAGGCATGTGTCACCAGGCCTGGCTTGTTATGTTTTTTACCCTGCCTCTCTCAGATACATGATTTTTTTCTTCAAGTTCTACTTAGACACAGAGAAGTGAAAACACCAGAAAATCTTAAGAAATGTCACTTAATCATTAAATGAATGTCCTATTTCACTCACATGTTGTTCTACTTGCTGCCATACCTAAACAAAGAAGGCACTTTAAAGAATGCCTAGTGTGTATGTGGAGTGAATTGATAACTAGTTCATATCGTACCTCCTCACCATGCCATGCTATACTTTTAAATGCTGTCTAAATAAGGACAAATGAATTGTTAGAGAGGAATATTCTATACTTGCTAACAATGAAATCATAATCTTAAGAATCTGCAGAACCAGCACCAAAACCTAAAGTTTCAGTTTAGTGTATTTTGTCTTATTACCTAAAAGGCAGTGAATAACAGTCTCAACTTCACAGTTTTGTATACTTCCTTCAGTGGTTCTGGACTTAAAGTTAAGGAGGTCAGGGGGGCTGGAGACTTTGCTCAATGGTGCTGCCGACTGCCTCCCAAGCGCAAGGTCCTAAATTCAATCCCCGGTACCAAAAAAAAAAAAGTTGAGGAGGTAGGGTTATGTATCAAGTTCATATGTTACAACAGGAAATTACTGCTGGTCCCCACCATGATTCTCCCTTCCTGTTTCAGTCATCTTGCAGCTGTGGCACATAAAACACTCCAAATAAAAGATAGTCCTCCTGAAGTGGCTGGGGTACGTTATGCTGAATGTCTTCTCTGTAATATTTAACAGCTCAAAACTACTTTTACAGAATATTCCCATCAGTCTTGTAAATTTATCTAAAACAACATTCTCTTGTTCAACACTTTCTGACTCAGATAATAATTAGACCTGGGCTGTAACAATACATGTTTGTATTCTTCCCAAAATACCAGACTGAAATCTATCTTCCTGCATCAGGTATTATAGTGATAAACTGTTCCTCTCTCCCATTCCACAACCCCTTTTATACTAGTCTTACTATAAAAAGTGATGAATACCTTTCCTGGCCTATAATAAACTCTAGGGCAACTTGAGATATTATTTCTACTTTAAATTACAAGAAAGTTGGAATTCTAAAACCATTCTTATTTACACAAACTAGCATGTTACTGAACGTTTAATCATTCTTTTGATTTGTTTTGTAGGCCAGACTTCATCTTTTCAAAGCTGTCCGTTATGTCCTAGCCAATGGAATGAAACTTCTTGGAATAACACCTGTATGTAGAATGTGATTTCTTATTGAAAGAGATTAAAATGCTAAGTAAATTCAATTACTTGTTTATAGGTGCTTTGCTGTTCAGATTATAATACAAACTATTATTTTGTGCTAGTATATTTTACTGAGTTTAAGTGACTTATTAATCCTTTTTGGTTTTTGTTTTATTGAAACAGTCTGTGTTACCTTTGTTACTCAGGCTGGCCTCAAACTCCTGGGCACAAGAAATCCTTTTTCCTCAGCCTCCTGAGTAGCTAAAAGTACAGGTGCACACCATCACACCCAGCTTGCTTAATCTTTCTGCTTACAAGTCATGTGAGTTTTATGGCCAAAAGGTACTTAATTACATATTTGTAAACTTAAGTCTTTTTAAATTCAAAAAATTATGGTATAATGCAGGTAAAGGATGACAATATAAACTCTGGTTTGAGGTTTCTTACTGTGTCATTCTCCAAGAAACTATCCTTATAACAGAGATGATCTGATGTTTTCATCAAATAGTTGAGACGGGACAGATCCTAATTTTTTAAAAGTCATGGCTAGTTTTGAACAAATAGACACTAAAGGTAAACATGTTTTTTGACAATATGGTTAATAACTACTCCCAGAGAGCATACTTCATGCTTACCTTTTAGTTGATATATGCTGGTAACTTACTATGTGAACTCAGGGACTGGATACATTTTAATTACAAGAAATTACTTGTAGAGACATTGTTAGGATCTTTTTATAAAATGTAGTAGCTAAACCATAATTTGGAGTTTAAACATTTCTTCCATGTGTTTGTGTGGGTAAAGTATATTTTGTGTGACTTGATTTGATAACATAAAATCAATTAGGTAAGATGAGTAGGATATGCTACGTTGTATCACTACAGCCATCCTCCTCTGCCAGCAGTTCTATTCAGGTCTGTAATTTCTTATAAATGTTGCTAATAGAAGTCTTCTAGGGGTTAGGAGTGTGGTTCAGTAGTACAGAACTTGCCTGTCATATGTAAGGCCTTGGATTTGATATCTACCACTATAAAAAAAAAGAAAGAAAAAGCCTTTTAAATACCAGTGAACATCTGTTTTTAAGAAGACAGAGCCGACTTAGCATGAACCAAAGCTTCTTCAGTTGGAATAAACATTGTTTTATATTGGCAAATGTGTTTATCTTCCTAGTCCTCAAAAAGATACATCCACGTCTCCATTTTAAGTGAATTGGCTTCCAGATTGCTAATTTTCTGCTTAAAGTAGCATTAAAATTCCCTTAGCACAAACCAGTCACTGAATAAAAATAAACATATCCAATATCGCTCTTTTAGGAATCTTTCTCCTTCCAAGAAAAATGGTAATCTCCTGAGTATTAACCTTGAGAAGATGATACAAGATTGTAATGGTTACAGCCACTACCAAAGGGCACCAAAGCAGCCCCCTAAAAAGTCTGTTCGCTAATTCCTAAAATTGAGAACCCTATATCCCTGATTGTAGTCCTTCCTATAAATTCCTTTTAGGGGATGGGAGTTAAGGCTTGTCAGACTTGGGTTATAGCTGTTACTTGCAAATAACCTTACTCTAGGCAGTTCCACATATAGAAAAAAATCCACATTTTGTTTTTTTACATTTTTGCATTATCTTAATGGTCATATCTATCTGCAATACAAAAAAGTGATTAAAGAGGATTCATATAAATTAAGTTTATTGCCAAATTTCCCCCATTAACATTATAGAAATATTTTTTAAAACACTTAATTTCACAAATTACAGAGAACCCAACAACTATACTTTATTAAAAAAAGTATAAAAGTGACATTTTAGTAATTTTTTTTTGAAGACAAGTATATCTAACAGCAAAGAAATATGAATGGGACAATGAATGGCACAAATACAACACTAAAGGAATACTCAGTCACCGCCAGAAATCATTGCCTGAGTTACAAAATAGATTCCATTTGAGAAGTCACACATTCAGTTTGTTTCTGAACTAGCTTGTCTTGTTTCTGTCTTACTGTAAGAAGCAGGTCTTTACTGCTACTGAGTCAAAATATTGTATGTGAATGAACTAGAGAACAAGGAGAGGTCTCTTCCCCTGGTACCTGAACAACAGAACAGTTAGTACAGAAATGGCTTTGGCACTTTAACCTTTAAATAGTGTTCCATACCTTATCACTTGATTTCATAGCTTCATATGATTTTTAATACCATATCATCACCATACTTAATATACATTATATATACACAGTAATAAATTCCTTCATTCTAAAACAACACAGCTTGTCCCTCAACAGGTCTGCAGTCATCTCTGCATTAGCAATTCGCTTTCTTCTTGGTTCTTAGGCCATACAGTTAATTTGTTGTTCCTAGTTAAGCTACCTTCTGGGATTGACTTAAGGCTCTAGTTTAATCCAAGCTGTTTAGTCATAGTAGGAATCTTTTGAGGCTCAAATCAGACACCAATGATTCTCTCTTTTGAAGTTGTTTCTCCTTGTTGGATGGATGTAGTGTCTTGTCTGGGTAATCCATAGAGATATATGGAAACACATACAAGAAGGGTACCTAGAGCAAAGGTGAGTGCTAGGGGGAAAAAAATTAGGCTGTATTTATGTCTTTAAAACTATAACAGTCATCAATTTAAATTTTTAAAAAATTTTAATAGTGATATGAGAAAGCTAAATATTCCATTTTTATGATGGTAAATTTTAGAAAGGTTACCCATTTTAGAAAAAAAATCAAAAAGTAAAATCAAGGAAGTGATAGTCACTGATTAATCATGTCACATTTTTGAAGACACAGTATCTTGGACCACTCTGACAACGTAATAGCTCCCTTATAAACTACACAGGTTTAAAGGAAGTATGTAAATATAAAATACATGTGAATACAAAAGAAAATAAATGGGATATAGCTTTCCCATGACAACAGAAATCTGTAAAATTTTGGAAAAAAGTTGAACAAAACTTAAGAGTTAGGTGATGAATTATTCAAATCTTTAAAAATTTCTAAATAGGAAATGAAATGGTAATTTACTGTATAAAATTACGTTTCCTGATAGACTGAATTACAACTTCTCCAAACTTGACATGTAGGCGTTATATAAATAAGTGCTTATATCACAACTGTACATTCTATTAAAAGCTGAAACATATTCTATGTGAAGTGCAGTTGCACGGTCTTCATAGCTTTTAAAAATGGCATGCAGAAAAATGAGGTCACACTATGATTTTACCTCACTCTTAACTAAAAAGGACCATCCTTGCCTTCAAAGAGGAGAGTCGTTAATATCATACATCTAACTAGTTAACAGAAAAATTTTGCCAAGACAAAACATTAACCAAAAGCAAATTTTTCTCAGGAGAAAAGACAAAGATTAATGTTGAACCTAAGGATGGATGAGAACTACAATTAAAATTTTACCCTAATCAGATAAGAACATCTAAGAGAAGGGAAGGTCTGGAGATACCTAACATTGCAATGGTAAATGGCTGGTCTTACGAGCTTACTTTCTATGTGCCAGGCACTATTCTAAGATCACTTGCATAGCAACCCTAGGAGATGGGCAACATTATTCTCATTTGTACAGATGAAGAAAAGGGAGACACAGGTTATATAACTTTCCCAAGGCTGCAGAGAGGATTTGTACCCTACTACAGAGTAGTTTTTCTAGTTTGTAGTTTTTCTGCAACATGAGTATTCCTCTATTTGCATTTATAAGAGTAATCAACTCTAAAATGAAATGCAAATATAGGCCAGTTCTACTTCTTTTGCTTTACCTAGACCTTTGACAACTTTTCCTCATATATTAGTTTATGGTACAATATCTGATCAATAAAGAAAATTATTATTACACAGCATAAAAGCACCCTGAAGTGCTAAGTCAATATGACAGCGTAGGTGATTAAGCCAACTTAATGACAGACCTGAGAGCTAGGGAAAATGTATTAGACTAGTACAGCAGTGGTGCCCAAATGCCAGCTATAATAATGAATTTTGTATTAGATACATATTAAATGAAATAATTATCTTTGTATAAAAAAATTTATATTGAACTAAGTTCAAAACAGGAAGATACATGGAAAAGGAAAAGATAAAACATGTTAGCCAGGCATGCCTGTAATCTCAGCACTCAGGAGGCTGAAGCAAGAGCATCGCCAGGAGTTCAAGACCAGCCTGGGTTACATAGTGAATTCAAGGCCAGCCTGAAATACATAGCAAGACCCTGTCTCAAAAAAACAAAAAACAAAATAAATAAATAAATAAAACATGTTTTCTGCTTTCCTCAAAATAAGCCTACATAGTTTACTAAATCATTCCTAATCATTTTTCTAAAGTCCTCCTATCTCTTCCTTTGAGCGCCCAATCACACTACAGTTATCCCTAAGCATCTAAGGGGTACTTGTTTCAGCACCTCCCTCAAATACCAAAATCTGTGGATACTCAAGTTTCAGGCAACTTAACACCCATCCTCCCATATACTTTAAATCATAGATTACTTATTATACCTAATACAATGTAAATGCTATATAAATTATTGTTATATAGTTCAAGAAATGACAAGAAAGTCTCTACATAGGCAATATAAAAACAATTTTTTTCCCCAAATATTTGCCATCTGTGAGTTGGATCCACAGTTGCAGAACCTACAGACACAGGGCCAAAATTGTTTGTTCACCGGACTCACTCAAGTCATCCTGTTTCTAAAAACAGGAAGATCTCAATTGCAAACACACTCTTTAATAACTTGAGTAGCCCCTAGCTTTCACACAGAATAAGTACTGTTCAACTTCAGCTCTAGAACGATTTATTTAAACAACTTAAGTACTGCTAACACACGTTTCACACAACTCTGAACTACTGTACTACAGGATAAATTGTAACAAAACTAGAAATTCCTATAAGCAGTATGGCCAACTGCTGGTTTTTTGGTTTCAGATCTTTGAGACAGGGTTTCACTATGTAGTTTAGGCTGGCCTTGAATTCGTGGTGATCCTGCCTGAGTGCTAGAATTACAAGTATGTGCCACCATACCTGACTCCAACTGCCAGTTATAATAAGAGATGAAATGAATCATGAAAGTAAAAGGCTCTTCCATGTAAACTTAAAACAAACTGAAACATACTTATCTGTAATCCAAACAGTATCACTGAAGCAATGGTAGAAAGGACAATGGCTGCTGCCGCAGAAAAACCTTTCATGATATTGTCTGTGTACTTGACCACAACGGAAGTGTACAGGCCTCCCACACTTGCAAGAACTTGGGATACAAAAAAAAAATAAGATCTTAACACTCAAACGAAACATTGCATGACGGGAAGGTAATTTTCATTGCCAGAGATAGCACACTAATTTACCTAGGAAAAGGAAAATATGACTTTGCTAGAAGTAGACATCTGAGAGAATCTGTGCTAAAATTGAGTAGTTCCTACATAACATTGGCTCTCAGATGCCCAAAGGGCTGTGTGGTCTAGTAATTGTGCGCATTTATTGCTAACACATTAGATACTTTTGATTGTGAAAGCAAAATTGCTTTGGGATGGATATGCCACAAAAGTAAGTTAATAAAACCAAAACAAAATTTTCAAACTGGTATTGACAGTATCAAAGGAATAATTTCAAATGCTACAAAGCTTAAAACAAAAATCTAACTTCAAAAAAATAAAATGGGTCTACTTGGAGCCTCTAGATACTTACATATGACAAACCAGACATAGTATGTGTAACCATAGAAAAATCCTTTCTCTTTAATTTCAGCTCCATCTGACAAGTAGGCGCCAACCAATGTTACAATAATTCCTGATAGATACATTTGAATGTTTCTCACCCAAAGGGAAGTGTCTGAACTTTTTAAGACTCTTTCAAAATATACTCCTAAAAGATGAAAATATTAAAGATATTGTAAATTCAAATGTCTTTCATTTAGAACATAGCCTAAAGATACAAAGTGTAACTTCGGAATGAACATACTTTAAATATACATTTATTATGTACATTGTGACACATATACTGAATGATAATGATTTGCTTTTTTTTTTTTTTTGGTACCAGGGATTGAACTCGGGACCTTGTGCTTGCAAAGCAGGCGCCAGAACCACTGAGCTAAATCCCCGGCCCTGATTTGTATTTTTATAGACATAACTAAAAGGGAATTTTATAAGCTACCTTTGACAAGGGGCTGTTAAATTTTAAGAACATTTCTGCATTTATTATAGCAACAAGATAGATTTTTGAAAGCAGTGCCACTTAATGCCAATAAAAGACTTGCTTTAGTCAGCTGGAAAACTATACTAGTAGGTGGAATTATCTTAATCATACCCTTTAATGTGTGTCTTTGCAGAATAATCTACATAGTCACCTCTTAGTTTTTTCAGAATGACACAACCAAAATAAAATTTACTAGAACTTGCTGAGTGAAGCCACTGTGCTTTAAAGCAAGTTTATATATAATGTCAGAAGGATCATGAATCCCTAACTAGATAATAAACTGTGTGTGCATCTGCTTTCTGAGGTTGAGGGTCCATAAGATACTTTTCAGACATTCTAAAAGTACATGACACTTCCACCCTCAAAAATCATATAGCCTACTTGTAAGCCTTATATTTGAACAAATGCATATTTAAAAATATTAAGTTTTAGTTATAAACATATTAAGGACTTCAGAAGTGGTACTAACATTTATCAATGTAAAAATCTAATGAAAAATAATATTTTTGATGAATTTATGCTGGAAAGAGCCAGAGAATGAAAACATAAAATGGTTATTCTTCTACCTCTGATCTTATGTCTGGGAAAATCATTTATTCACTGCTTAGTTACTCTAAGCATAAACCACCTTCCATTTCCTCAATTGTGATCTACATACAGTGTTGGACATACTGTTCAAAATTATTGCTAGAAATTAAAAATATATTATTTCTTGAGTGACTCAATTTTTATTCCTAATTTTTTGGATCCCAAGAATAAAGATTTAGGATGACACTATGGTTAATTAAGTATATTCCTAAATTTAGAATTTCTCATCTTATAAAACATCTTATTTACAAGCAATAGTTTAGTTTACTTCTAGTCAAAAATAAAAAAATCCTAATGCTTAAAATAGGTACAAATAAGGATAAAGACATATAGCTATTTACTAATATATTCTTTTCTAAAAAGAACTTTAAATTTCATATTTGTTAGAACTACTTCTAAAACATCTTTTACTTCTTACATTGCACTTAGCATTCATACTTTTTCTTGATTCATTGGAGAAACAGTTGTCCCTACACATAATGACCTCATACTTCCTTGTTTTCTTGATGTGATTTTATGTTCTTTTTCTCCCCTTCAGCAGTTTTGTACTGTTTTCTAAGGAATACTCCACCCACCTGCTCTTCATATTCTGTAGATCCTAGTCTGCTGAAGTAGAAAACTTGAGGTTTTTGAGCTGTAACGTTAGCAACCTCCAGCAGGAGGAGCTGGTTTGACCACTGCCACTTCTAGAAAAATAGAAAGCTTAGTTGAGCTTTCTGAAGCCTAATTTCTCTACTTTCAGAGTCTTTTTTCCCCCCATTTGTTGAGTTCTTAACTAGACTGAGATAGTCAAGGATGACAGGTATATATTCTTAGATAACTGCAAGTCTGAGGACTGAGGTCTGAACTGAGTCAAACAAGGCCACACTGGAGATACAGATGACAAAGAACAATAAGTAAGAAGATAAAAGGATTACTAGGAATAAAATTGTTGTGCTAGAGAAAGATAAACTAGATCCATTTTTAAAGTATGTTTTTTAAAAGAATAAACAGGTAAAATGATGTTTTTCATGACTTACCTGCAAATCCTGAGCACAAAACAGCAATAGCTATAGCACCAAAACCCAATAATGGATTCTGTTCCACCTATAATAGTAATTTTTAAGTTTTTTTTTTAGTGACTAACAAACAGAATTCATCCAACAATCTAAACAAAGAATCTGTGTTATCATTTTCTACTAAAAGTATATTTCATATCAGACACAACTATTCTGTGGAATAAAACAGGACCAAACAAAAAGTCCATCCCAAAAATTAACCAGGGCACTTCAATTAAAAATGTGTCCTCAAATCATACACATATGAAAGTCATACCTATTTCCTAATACCAATAAGCACTCTAGCATACAGTTTTCCATATTTGGCCTGCTTCTTAATTTTGATTTCTGCCACCACTCTAAACCCTTAGTGTTGTCATGAAACTGGTAACAATTTAATTTATTTATTATTTATCACCTACAGTACGGAAGGCTGACTTTTTAGACTCTACCTTACTGAATTTTCATCAGATACTTATAGTGTACCTTCTGTGTACCATAATCATGGCTATAAAATGAGTAAAGAAGGTAATAACAAAGCTCACGAAACTCTGGTTCTTTTATATTTCATATATAGGAGAGACTTACAAGAATAATCATAATACTGGGAGATATGCCTAGAGATGCATGTGAATGGGGGCCCAACCTACTATTCCAACTTCATTTTCTCTTCCTTCTTAACTTTTTCCTTGAGATAAATACTATCTCAATGATATTGCTGAAATTAGAGGGTTGAGACTCAACTGTAATATTACAAGGAAGAATTATACCTTGTTCAAAATAAATAAGCCTAATGTAAGGAGAGTAAGTACCTGAGAGAGAAAGCTTGGTCTAAAATGTTTGTATGAAGATAAAAGGAGAAACAGAAGACACTGTAGACCAGTGGTTCTCAAAGTGTGGCCCCTGGACCAGCTGCAGCAGCATCACCTGGAAATTTATTACAAATGGAAATTGTCAGGCCCCATCCCAGGGATGAGCCCAGCAACTTGTTTTAAGTAGGGTGTCTGCTAAATTCTTGACTTGCTTTATTGACAGTTTAACCTCTACAGTTCAGAAACAGTGATGGAAACAGATTCTCTGGACATTAACACTGATAAGAAACTGATAGGTGATGAAGTGGATATGATCAGCACTTTGGATCAAGAAAGCAATCATGTCATCTTAGCATGAATAACTGTCAAACATAACCCAGTTAAGGGATATTGCCCCAATCTTGAATAAATCAAAATTCAGAAGATAAATTTACAGTTAGAATTCTATGATTAGTGGGAAAATGGTTCAAGAGAGATTAAGAGGTTCTGGAGAATGAGGTTCTGGTAAAGAGTTAAGAAGAACATGACTAAGGCATCTTCACTGAACTGCAGATTACCAAGAGAAATGTAACCAGAAATTTTAAAAGTAATATTAAAGAATTAAAAACTCAGAATAAGCAGAGGCTTATAAAGAAGTATGTTTATTCAAGGAGAAAAGAGTTTCTTGAGCTAGATAATGTACTATGAGATGGCAAGAAAATAGAATTACCCAAATCTAGTTTCTATTTTCTCTGTGAATGGTAATTTTTAAATATAAACATACTTAAAAGAGAATACTTTACAGATGACTTGAACTTTTGGTCACCAGTGTAAAATAGTTTGGTTTCCCTAAGTGAAACATACCAGATTTCTTTACTGAAAGGAATCCTAGAGTTAAATGATCAGAGGAATTCCAAAAAGGCAATGTTTCGCAAGAAATTTGACAGCTTTGCCTTTGCAAGACAGTAGTGAGGATAATAGTACAATGAATGCTCATACAGAAAAAATGCTAACAGGGTCAAATCAAGCTAGATAAACAACCAGTGTCAACTTGTCAGGAGTATGATGAGCCCACACAAACATCCTCTGGGCCTAGTTGAGCCTTTATAGCTGACTAGCAGCCCTAGACAGTGGCTTTACTAAACCCTTTTAAGAGATCCATGCCAAAACCACTAAGGAATGCTGGTCCTGTTCTAAAATTTTCACTTAAGACTAAAAGGATACATATATCTTTGCTCACTCTAGAAACCATACTACTCAAAGGAAAGCTAATAGGTTTAAGAACTGGAAAGGACTCAAGGCGCTGACACAAGAACTAACAGGACGAGCTTCCTGAATACAAACATATCCTACATTTTGGTTTAAACTAAGTCTGCTATACGAGACATCTGAGACAAATTTTATGTGACACAGCTACAGATAGCTGTGTATAATCAATTCTAAAATGGACATCCTGCTCTCTCTAGAATACAATCTTCTGCTGATTCAGAACACGGTGGGGCATAATTATCAAGCTATATCTCACATTACTCAGGCAACATCTGGAGATAGTGTGAAGTTTTAGAACATACTGAGGTACAAGGACAGACCAATGTATCTACAAGAGAAACGAGTCCCTGGGGCTGGGGGCAGGGACTGGTAAGTTTCTGTCCAGAAACCATACCATAGAAAGAACAGGGTTGTGTACATGGGAGAGAAGGGACACGTGGAGAATGGGGATATGATGTTATCTTCAAGCATTCACAAGATCATCATATGGAAGTAGGGATTTAAATTATTCGGACAAGAACAATGAGAAATAGTTACATGAATCTACACACTCCGCTTAAAATATGAAAGAATCCTGAGTGGGCCAAGGAGGATAAGCTGCCCTATAATCCACTTCAGTTAACAGCTTTTCACAAATGTATGTGAGGTGGCCCTAACAGTTTTTCTGATAGTGAGATGTTTCTTAAATTTCACATTTAACATTTAAAGTTTTGCCTTCCCAAAGAAATTATTTCTCTGAAGTTCTACTGAGTTAAATGGTATGTATCTCATAAATGTTTTCAAATGTCACCAAGAATATAAGCATGCTTCCACAGCATCTGAAGACAGTAAGTATTAATCTAAAACTCATTTTCTGAAAACAGACATTTCTCTACCAAGCTGGAAAGTAACTACTAAAAAGGAACAGACTTGCCATTTTTATAAGTTCTCTGTCCATTCCCAACAGCCTTTCATAAAAGAACTATGTCTGCTAAAAGTTGAACAGTATATATTTGGTTGTAGAGAGAAACCCCTGACCTTCAGGAAGTCATTTATCAGGGTTCTACTTCCTACTTCTCTTCGGGGAAATAAATGATTGAGGCATACAGTATTAAAAAAACAAAACAGCAGGGGCTCACAAGTGCAAGGTCCCGAGTTTGATCCCCGGTAGCAAAAAAACAACAAAAAACAACTAGGTATGTACCTTAATATTCACTCCTGAAAACTTTAAAGGGCATTTGTTTTTTTGCCCTATTTTCATTATCAATGCCCAGAACACCACTCCTGTCATCAAGGTAAGGGGAAAGAATGAACACCAAATGAAGAAAACCTTGTCTAATGCTTCTGAGATGTTTTTAAGTGTAAAAACCTGTATTTATACTATGTAGAAGAAGACAGTTTTAGTCACAAATTAAATGATTTATCTTTGGACAAGTCACTGCATCTCTTTGGACTTCACTTTTGTCACTGGCAAAACAAGGCGTAGAAAACACGTATAAGGTACTATTTCTAATATATTTTTAATATATTCCTTCAAGAAATAGAAAACTAGTATATATTACTATCCTTAATAGCACAACTAAAGAAAAAAGCCTCTAAAAGGCAAAGTTTATTTTAAAGAAATGTGGTCATGGTGTATTAATCAATGTGACTGATGTGTACAAGACTGAAGTAAGACAGAAGTTTCCTACTTTAGTTATGGTATGTATTGTGTTTCTTACCACAACTTTTGTAGCTTGGGCTGGTTTCCACTGTACAAGTGTGACTCCACCACACAGCATAAAAACTGAAATCCATTGTAATTTGCTGAGTGTCCGGTTTAACATTAAAACAGTACAGAAAGCAGTACAGGGAATCTTCAATTGGTAGGTCACCTAGCAACAAATTAATGAATTAATCTTATATAGATTAATATTTCTGATATAATAGTGAGAAAATTATTTGATAATGTAGAATTAGCAGAAATCTTTCTACAATAAAAATGTTTCAAAATTTTAGAGCTTTTCATTATCATTATCTTTCTTACCTGGTACACTGCTGCATCCAGATTGCTAAGAGCTAGGAAAGCCATGTTGTTCTGAACAGCGTACACTAACGAAGGCACACTTAACTTCATCAGTTCCTTGGGGCTCCCCAAGACATTTTCACTTACAGATGCCTTGAATCTACCCAGGCTACCAGTTTCTCTTTGGAAACAAAATGGGGAAATGGGAAGGTGGTAAGGCAGAAAATTAAAGAGCATTATTTTAATAAAATTCCTTCACACACAGGGTAACTATCTCGTTCGTGTTAAATCCACTGATGCAGTTCAGCACAATTTCTAAAATAATTTCCAACTCATTTTAGATTAAAAGAAACATAATACATTTCTATTGTAAAAAATTTAAGATTTAGAAAAATCTGACATTAACTAGGTTTACCACTTCTGGTTAAAGCTTCGAAGCTTTTGCATATATTAAGTAATGAGATATGAGAGGAAACAAAAAATTAATCTTTTGCCACTTTACCCATACTGCATCAAGTTCAATCTGATTATTTTTTAATTAGGCTTCATAGCCACCTTTAAAAATATTTTCTCCACATAACATTTAAAGTGCAAACAAAAGAAAAAAGCTTAGTTCTTAGTTATGAAGTTATATGAATTAGGAATCAAATGATTCAGGTCAATATTATTTGTAAATGAATTCAGGCTAAGGAAATACAGTAGATAGTCTTTAATTTATAAGCAGTCTCAAAATTTAAGCCCAATTTGTATAATTCTATGGGAAATCCAAATAACTTATTAATCTCAACAAAAGTAAACTATAAGGTACAAAGAGTTTATTACTTGACTGTATACTGATTATGCATGCTCTTAACTACTCTGCATTATTTTTGCTCAGGAAGACTGGCTACTCTGGCTTGCATCTTCCCTACTGTAAATCAGCTCATTTATTTCCTAAAAATAAAAATAAAACTTTTATAATAAGTATCAATACCCCCAAAAAGTGCTTTATCAGATTAGTCCTAAATGCAACTCACTATACCCTTCCAAGAACCATAATCTTTGTTAAGGTAGCTGTAATTTATGATAATTACAGTAAGCCTCTGTATTTTTGATAACATTAGAATCAAGTTTTTAATTGAATTTTTTCATTGTTAAATATTATAAAAAATAATTAAGTTCTGAGGTGGAGTGAAAGTCCATCATATCAAACTGATTACCTGTATCTAGGTATTCATTTTCTAAACCTCAACTCAAGAAAATAAGACAGGAAATTTGGCCTAGGCCATACAAACAAAAGACATCCCTTGTAGTTACAGACCTTTTTCTATTGCCAAATTCAACACACACCACACCATAATGTTAAATTTGTTTATAAAAGTAATGTACATAGACTGGTGGTAGACTATAAACTCACATGAGGAAAAAGATACCAAAAGAATTACACTCTACTGAAAAATCTACATAGTAGTTTTCCAGGTGTATAAAAATTAGCCTTTAAATACTCAGCTGTGTCAGTGGTGCTAAGGATAAAATCTAGAGCCTTTCACAGCACTCTACCACTGAGCTACATACCATCCAGCCCTTAGCTGCTGCTTAATAGAAACCTAAGATGTCCTGTATACTTTCCTGACAACTTAAGCAGAGAATAAAGAATAAATTTTGGCATGTTTTCTTATAAAAGATTAAAAAAGAACCACCACAGGAATCCAGTCCAAGGAACTGTCTCAAAAGGTGATGTATGAAAAGATATAACTGGATGTTTATCATAATTATTAGTATCAGATGATAAATATTACAAACTGTGTAAAGTACAGAATACTACTTACAACTTCCACTGTACTATTATTTTTAATGCCCTTCTAAAGTGTTGACTTATATACTAATGTATCCTCTGAGTGCCACTCTAAAGGGATGACTGAGGGGTACTATTTATACAACTCCTCAAATCCTCACACTTTATTTCTTCTCATGTCCACCTATCTCCCACAAAAGGTTCAAGTTAAACCCTCAAAGGCATAATGGCTACTATCATTTCCCTAATACCCAGTTATGGGCAATGCTATTTTACCTCCACCCATTAGAAATAAGTCTTCATAGATATTAATGACTTTCTTCGCTATTCAAGGAAAACAGAATTGGCCAGTTGGCCTTCAAACTATGGGCTAAAGGATCCAATTGGGTACTTGAGTAACCACTACACCTGCACCAATAATCAGTGTAATTGTGATCTGTTTTCTCCCTTAGCTCTTACGCCTTTTCAGCTTTTGCATAAAATGAAAGCTTATGAAACAAATTAGCAGCTAATCAGTACTTTTTGTTCCTTCAGTGTGGCAAACTAGTACAGTACAGTGTATCAAGATTAACCTTTGGGTTTTCATCTCTTTTGGCCAGATCCTACTTGTTAGATGCTTAAAAGCTATGTTTTCAGTGCCAGGAAGGTTTAGGTATCTCTTTCTGTTTTCCTCTCTGATGTAGGTATTAGAGAAGTGAAGGTGTAAGAGAATACTATTGGAAAGCTCAAATTTCACTGTAGTATCTTAGAATAGTGTATAGTTGTAAGATACTGAAATAAGTATAAGAATGTAGTTCTTATTAAGAATATAGTTCTTAAAGCTTTGTATTTAGCTTTCACTAAAGTTATTTTAAAAGATAAGAGCAGTATCTCTTCCAGAAAATACTAGTATATTGTCCTTTTTTCCAATACAAAGACAAAAATATATGGTCAATCTAAATTTACCAGTTTTGAGTATACTATAAGAATAAAAACTAAAGGCTATTTTCCCTTCCATTTTCCTGACTTTGTTTTCTCAGGAGTCAAATCAAGCACCTTAACGAGAACCTTTTGTTAAAAACAAATTTATTAATATAATTAAGTATGCAAGATGAGAGAGCTTGTATAACCAAAAGCTTTTTAGATGTCTTTTTCCTGTTAAATTTCTTATTTGAACAGTCTGTTTGATTTTTATCATTGGCATAGAATCTGTGTGCAACCTTGGTTACCTGAAGAACTCCTCAAGCTCCATGTTGATTGCAGAGAGATTCCACTGCTGCCTTCCTCCCTAAATTTCCTATCAACCAGCTGAAACCAGTCCTTTCTGACCTATGTTTGGTCAGAAGCAAGCCTCATTCTTCCAGCTTCTGTTCTGATGAGGACTACTAAGAGGCATAAAATCCTTGGTTAGGTTACCAAGGCACTGTGCAAAACGGAACACAGCAGAAGTTAATCATGAGCTTAAGAAATTTAAATTCTGTTGCAAAATTTTTATCTGCAAAGTTCAGTATAATTAACACAAATCTTTGAGGGGCCAGATATAAAAAACAATAATTAGGTCAAATTAAGAACAAAAATACTCATCATAGGCAGTAAATGATTTTGACTTTTTCTCCAAGACCCAGAACTCATTATAAGATGGGTATGAAGGCACAGCAAAAATGTAAGCCAGCAGGAGAGATAAACAGGGCTGGAAAATATGTAACATGTATTTGATAGCTATATTAGGTATTAGATACTATGAAATAGTAAAACAGTTTTCTCTGATCCACTGTGGATAAGTAGCTCAAGATATAATACTTTGTTTTACTACTAAAACACACCCAAAGTATATGTACATTAACATGTACACATCCTGCTACAATTATTTAGTCTTTATACTGTAGTAACAGCAAACAATAAAAAGTTGAGTTTGTTCTGAGGCAATGTGAAAGTGCTTTCACTTCTTTTTCCTTATTACCACCAATGGTGTATTTTAATCCTCATTGCCAATAAGTGTCATGGGGCTTAATTTTCCTATTAATTGTAGTAGTAATTAGCTTTATGAAAAATATTTTTTAAAATTTTTACATTTCAAAATATAGCTTAGAAACTGGGAATTTAAGTATTTTTAAAAGTACTTTATTCACATGTAGAGCTTTTGTAACATCACTTCTAATTTTCTCCTCTTCAAAAGCAGAATTCACTCATTTTCTTTTCAATTTAAAAGTGATACAATCACACAGGTGCACAACAGTGTGTGCACAGGATAATTATTGTTTTATAGTAGAAGACTGAAACCAACCCAAGTGTCCATCAACTGAGTGGCACATTGGCTATGTCTGCATAAGGGAGTACCATACAATTTTTAGAAAGAAAGAGACAGATTTCTAATATACTACCTTGAAATACTTAAGTGTTAAAAAACGATGATAAAATCTCTTCTCGGCTTTTTGGCTAAGATCAAGTGTAAAAAACAAAGATAAAATATTTAAGTACAAAATAAAATGGAGTATAGTGTATTTTACATAGTGCCCAGCAATCTCTTGCACATAACTCAAATTCACCAGTTAGACCACCTCAACCTTATTTATCAAAGTAATTAAGTCCATTAATTCTTCCTCCTTTTTTTGCCGTTACATCTTCTGATTGAAAGAAGTATACTTTCATATTCTAAAAATTGCAAGTAAAAACAAAAATGGAAGAATTCTAAATTAAGCACAGACAGAAACAAATGACCTATTATTTCAGAACTACTGAGAAGGGAACAAATACGAATAAAGGGAAGGTTAGATCTTTCTCAGGAAGGCTGGATCCTAACTGTAGGAAATCAACCAATACATACCAATAACTCCTTGGTATACATAAATATGGAGAAATAGATATAGATAAGAGTGTATATACATATGCATATATTTCCTATTGGCTGAAAGGGTCTAGAAGTAAGGATACTGCAGAAGCAATGTGTACATGAGGTACCTAGGTTCTGATTTCTAAATATTGTGAAAAATAAAGAGAACAAAGAATCCTTGAAAAAATATGTGACTTCAGTGTCTGGGCAGGTCAAGTACAAAATAAGCCTAAAGCAACTTACTGTGCTAAAAAGAAACTGTTCAGAGATTGATGAAAATATATGTAAAAGAAACAGGAAGTTTGGAGATCCACTGTTTAAATCTGGGGCATTTTGAGCATCAAAATAATGATACATAAATGAATTATACAATAAAATAATCCAGAAGTTCACATTTTTCATTTTCTCATGCCTTTTGTTGGTGATTTTACTGTTTAAGATGGCCCCCAAGTATAGTGCTAAAGTGCTACCCAGTGTTCTACGAATGCTATAGCACTATGGAGAAAATACATGTAATAGGTAAACTTCATTCAGGCATAAATTATAGTGCTGTTGGCCATGAGTTCAAAGCTGGTTATTCAGTAACATACATTAAATGTGTTACCTTTCTGTTACTATAACAAAATACCTAAGATAATCATCTTATAAAGAGAGAGGTTTTATTTTTGGCTCACAGTTTAAGAGGTTTCAGACCATGATCAGTTGGTTCCATTGCTTTGCACAAGGCAACAAAATGACTCACTTCATCATGGTCAAGAAGCAAAAGAGAAAGGAGGAGACGGAGGTCTCACGATCCTCAGAAGACTACCTGATAAGCCCTACCTTTAAAGTTCTACCATCTCCTAAGAGGAGCAAGCCTTTAGTACATAAGCCATTGGAGGACATTTAAGTTCCAAACTATAGCATTAAATTGTCTTTAAAACTCACACAAATCAAGGTTATGTAACTAATCAGTTGATAGAAACATAACCAGAGGCTCACAGGAACCCCACCTTGTATTTCCCCAAAGAGTAACAGTTCCTAGTCAAATTCTAGTGATGACTTTATTGAATGAAATTCCTTTGAATAAAGAGAACTATTTATTCAAACACATGACTAAGTCCTATAGATCATATCTCCAGAGCATTAACTTCTCTTCATCACCTATGCTATAAGGTTTTCTCCTTTCAACTTTTACACTTCACCGCACTTTCAACTTTCCAATCCATTCTCCTTCAAGGAGTCAAAGTGACTCTGGAAGCAAAATAGTTGGCCATGTTTGTTCCTGATTTAAACTGTCCAATGACTTCCTATTGTACTTGGACTCTTCTTTGGTACCAGGGATGAAACTCAGGACCTCGGCGCCTGCCTCACAAGTGCAGTGCCACCGAGCTAAATCCCCACCCCTTGTACTTGACTCTTGATACCTTGATGACCTTACTCCAGACATACTGATAATGTTTAAATAACATTTTTTCTGCCTCAAGAATTTCAAACAGCATTTTCTTCACCCTCATCGTTCTTTTCTTACCTAACTTCTAGTCAATCTTCAGGTCTAGGATTAAATGCAACTTCCTCAGGGAGGAAACTCTCCAATCCAATCTACTATACTTGTTTACAGCACCCTCTATTTTTCCTTCATGACACTGTCAATTTATTATTAATTTACCATAACATTTGGTTCTCCAATAAACTATAATCTCCAATGCAACCTTATTTCTTGTATCTAAAACAGTGTTAAACTCATAATTGGGACTTGATAAATATTTGCTAAATGAAACTGACTACCCCATCATATCTTTTGTTTTGTTTTGTTTTGTTTTTTGAGGCAAGGTCTCACTATGTAACCCAGGCTGGCCTCGAATTCACAGCAATCCTCCTGCCTCAGCCTGAGTGCTGGGATTACAGGTGTGCACCACCATGCCCGGACTCATTATGTCTTATTAACAGTATCTTGAACCTGCCTTAGTAAGACTACATGCTTCAAATGTTCAGAGGGAGTGAAGCACTGATTATTTGGGTGTGGCAGTGATGTTTCTCTATAAGTAAAATTAATAAGACACTGAGTTTCTGGTGCCACCTCAATAAGTCTGTCCTTCACCTCATATAATATTTGATTACTTTAACAATTAGCCAAGACTAAATGTATTACTAACCAAAGAACATCACTGTACTGTACTAAATAAGCAGCCAGACTGATAGTCTGTATAATGAGAGTAAACTCTGCAGATAGGGCAGATAAACTGAAGTTCCTGGAAAATATCTGTAACTCTATAAGGTTACTGTGGTTTATCACACAGTAAAGAGTGGGTTAAAGAAGAGTTTTCCATTAAAATAGTAGCTCTAAAGCTTTAGTTATTTCTAATATAATTATTCCACATTCTCCCATAATATCCTGAAATTTTCATCTTTTCTCTCAGATGATACAATACTGCTTCTACTTTGAACACAAAGAAAACTGGTCTAGAAAATTATTTTAACATCAATGGGTTAGAATTATCAAATATATACAAATTCAACACTATGAATCAATTTTGGTTTCTGACTTTTTCTGTTCCTAGTTTTTGTGTACAAGATCCTGGCCTGTATGTTATGCTGGTGACAGACACAGCAACTATTGCTTTTTCCACACTGCTGTTATTTCAGCACCATAATCTGACTAGCCTGGTAAATTTTCAAAATTTTTTGTTTGTATTTTGACATAATTTCCAAAAAAGTTTCCACAAAACAACTAACTATACCTGCAACACTGAACAACTGAAGAAAAGCAAGAAACACTGTATGCCAAGCAATAAAATAAAAGAAAATGTCTATGCAGGTGGGTTGGTGGAAAAATTGGCCCAACTGCTATACCTTGGGCTTCAGTGCTTTTTTGTTGTTTTGTTTTTTCATAGTGATTTCCACAAATTCTCCACAGTTGCAAAACAAACTGAACCATGATTTGCTCTTATAATTTAAAATAGCCAATATCATGCTCTAACAGATCTATGTGATTCCTGAGTTAACTGTTTTTTTGTCCCTTTGGAAGTTGGGGAACTTTTTCTTAATAGAAGCTAAACCTTAAGATTATATTAATTTGTTAACTCCTAAGTTGTTACATGGAAGTTGTTCTGGAGTTTTAGACTTTTGCCTTTGAAACATTGCCTTATAAAGGTACAAGATGACTCACATTTATCTTACATAATTCAGAAAGAAAAACTTCATAATTAAAAGGCAATCTTCCAGAATTTTGTTACATGGAAGGTCTAGTTTTACTAACCTGACCAGTTAGGCTGCTGTAGTATCTCTATCTACAACATAAATTTTAAGTTCAAATATATTGAAGCCATCTACCATGTAGTCTCAAGTTGTTTTTCTGTTCTTTTCTCTTCAAATCATTTTTCACATGATCATGTGAAATCATGTGTGTGTTTACTGGTTTATTTTCTGTCTCTTCAAAACTAAATCTGTTTAAAGATGGAGACCCTTTTTCATTCATACCTATATACCATCATCCAGTATAAAAACTGTCACATAGAAACTACTCAATAAATAATGAGTTTCAAAAGTTTCAAATTCTTTAAATGTAATTTGTCTATTTCCACTTAAGAACCTATACACATACTATTCCATACTACTCTACTCTTACCAACACACATAGTGAAATCTGTATGAATTCTCACCTAGGTCCCTATTTCATAAATCTTTGCTCAAGTCATTTACTAACAATTTTTAAAAGGTTAAGAAATGTGTGTGAACCCATAATCCCACTGAGTCTAGGAATAAATGTCTTACTGCAGAGTCCCTATGATTACCCTTCTCTCTCACTGCATCTTTAGCTAAAATGATTCTTATATGATGTTACTGACTCAGCGCCAAGCATTACCACATAATACCGTAATCTTGAAGCACCTCATATGCTGTATTGATAAAATAGGAATAATTATAGTACTTACCTCAAAACTGCATAAAGATTAAATGAAAAAATTCATGAAAAGCACTAGGTAGCACTTAACACAGGAAACAATAAATGTTTATTATTATATTCCTCTAAAACAGGGGTCGGCAATCTTTTTTGAGTCAAATAGTAAATATTTTAGGCTTTGTGAACTATATATTGTCTACAGCAACCAAAACAGGCAGCAAGCTACATTTGGCCCATGGGCTACAGTTTGACAACTCTTGCTGTAGAGCAGGGCTCTTCAACCCCAGCATTACCGACAAATAGAGCTGGATATAACTGTTGCATAGGGCTGTACTGGACCTTACAGGATGTTTAGCAGCCTCTGGCCTCCACTCACTAGATGCCATACCATCCCCCCAAGTTATGACTACCAAAAATATCTCCTAGGGAGCAAATCACCCATAGTTAGGAAACACTGCTCTAGAGCAATCAAACAAAAAGATGTAGCTTGAATTTTCCAATAAAATACCTTAAGGGAAAAAATAATACCCTAAAAGTATTTATACTTACTTAGCTAAAAGTCCCACACTTAGCAATAACTTTATAACTTCTGTGATACACACAGCTGTGGTTGAAAAGTAGAGTTCTTTGTCTGTAGTCCTTGTGTATCTTAAAGATATGGTATAAGCTGCAGCCACCAAGGTCATCACTGTCAAGCAGTATAATTTGAATAGTAAACTGACATTTTCTGGAAAATAGGTGCAACAAAAATATTATTTAATAGACAAGATTATATATATAAGAGCTAGTCATTTGTGTCATGTACAGGTACCAACTCCTGATGAATATAATCATTATGTACTGCAGTCAGGTACTAATAAAAATAAAAAATGTTTAAAAAGCTAATCAACTAGTTATGGCCTAAAATGCTTTCCAATTTCCAGCACAAAGTATTTTTTAAAACCTATGACATTTTTAAAACCAGTATCTTCCAGTTATATGAAACAAAAGACACAAACTAACCTTAAATATTAATACATTAAAGTTTTATCCAGTGTTCCAACTGCAAGACTATATGCATAGTAAATCTAAGATGCTGAAATTTACATATTTTAAATATCTTTATGATTACAAATTTGTGAAAGAAACATGAAAGCAACTGCAGTGTATACTCCAAATTTAAAAACAGCAGAGAAAAAGCCAAAAGGAATAAGTGAGTGATAAAGGAGCTTAACGAAGAACTTTATAAAAGTCAAAATATATCTTTTCTTTTTTTTT